CAACAGAGGTCTCCCGCCTCAAAATAAATGTCCTTAAAAGGAAATTGGTCAACGTTTTATGGCGGACGACGGATCCTCCTACCACCCCACCCCTTCCCATACACTTACACACACACACACACACACACACACACATACATACATACACACACATACATAAACACATACACACACACACACACACACACACACTCACACACATACATACATACACATTTAATTAAACAGATACAGTTTCATGCTGTCTCGAATGTTTGGGAAAGGGATGAAACAGCACAGAGCATCACACAGACAGGAGCCATGCACTGGAATCAGTCATGCTGTCAAATAGCTAAGGATTTATTCCACTACGCCCTGTCTCTTTGCTCTATACCAACGGGGAAACTCAAGTTCCAGAAAGCCCAGTCTGGGATTTGAACGAGGGCTATCCGCATCGTAGTCCAGCATGATACCAGTTGGGCTAACGGAATGCCCCTCTCACCCCCCCCCCCCACCAATAACTCCCTCCCCTCTTATAAAAAAGCAACAAACAAACAAACAAACAAAAATAGACCCGTGAATCAGAAAGACCAAACAGCACGACAAGACATGCGCAGACGCGACAGTCAAAGGGAAACAAGCCACACAACTTACACTTCCGTCTGCAACACGCCCCGGAAGTCCACCTGCTCCTCTGTGGGCTGAGTCTCCTCGCTGACCTCCACAACAGCAGCGGTCAGCTGGTCACGGAAGTCTGTCTTCTCCTCTTGGGTTTCTGGGGAAATAACACACAACATTACTCCTCTCCGGATGTCCATCAATATAATAATAATAATAATAATAATAATAATAATAATAATAATAATAATAATAATAATAATAATAAAATACTACTACTACTACTGCTAGTAATAATAATTATAATAATAATAACAATAATAATAATAATAATAATAATAATAATAATAATAATAATAATGATAATAAAATACTACTACTACTACTACTAATTCTAATAATAATAATAATAATAAATAGCATTTGTATAACGCACATCCCCGCCCAACAGCAGGCTCTATGCGCTTTACACTATATTATTACCCCAGCAGACCACAGAACACTCCGAAACATTCTCAGCTTCCCGTGAAGCATACAGTGCAAGCAGCTGATTAAGCGCTCAAACACTAACAAACTGACAAGATCTTTCGCTGTCTATAGCCGGGTACCCATTCCCACCTGGGTGAAGTGAGGAAAATTCGTGTAAAGTGCCTTTCCCAAGGACACAACGTCGGGTCCCTGACGGGATTCGAACCCACGACCTTACGGTTGCGAGTCCGAAATCCTAACCACTAGGCCACCGACGCCACCGAAAACATACACAACATTACATGTACCCCTTCCCGGCCGTCTACCAGTGTCAACGATGACTATAGTGCAGTCAAAAATTCGTGGCGCAACTTATTTTCAAATATCTCCTCAACTCTCGAATAGAGGTTCTCCAATTTTTGCACAGTGACTTGCATTAATTTGTCTGAACAGATTAACCTTTTTGTAAACACCTGCAAGCTGTATTCTAGAAAATTCCTTAATAAATACTAATAAAAAATCCAAGTGGGTGGTTTCTACAGATTTTTTATTTAAATGTTTACAGCTGGGGCAATATAGCTTTTAATAGCAAGTCGGTCAGGTTTTTCTAATCGGGAAATTATGCTTATTGAACGCATGTTTGAGAGCCATTAATGTAGAAATGTGTTCACTATAACAATGATTTCTATAAACCAATTACTCATTAGCGATGTCTATCCAAGTTTTGAGAAATGACGTAAGCACTCACTATTGACGATGAGAGACACTGTCACGCTCTCCTCTCCAATGTCATTTGAGGCCGTGACCTTGAAAGTGCCAGCATCCTCTGGTGTGACGTCAGCCAAGGTCAGGCTGGTCTGGTAGGTGTCTCCTTCCGGAGAAAAGGAAGTGGTCACTCTCGAGTCTTCTTCGATCGGTTGGTTGTCTTTGCTCCACAGAATCTGAACACGGACAGAATGCGCACATGAAAGAACGGGTAAATGTTTTAGTGTGAGTCCATCGTTTGAACGATTGTCTATGTTTTTAAAAACAAGTTTTAGTAGAGGTTTTACGGCGCTTGCAACTACATAAGGTCATATGAGTGCCGAAGATTAGAGATTTCACGACCAAAGTGAAATCAGGTTAGGACAAACAGTGTCTCTCTCTCTCTCTCTCTCTCTCTGTCTCTCTGTTTCTCTCTGTCTGTCTATCTGTGTGTCTTTCTGTCTGTCTGTCTGTCTCTCTTTCTCCCCCTCTCTCTCTCTCTCTCTCTCTCTCTCTC